TAACTTTTTATGATAATTTCTCGAAATCTACTAAACCAGTTTAATGAATTTTTTTTATTTTAATTCTATAATATTATGAAATTAAAATAAAAAATATTTTATTAAATTAATTTTAGTTATTGAGAAATTATTGCTATAAGTTTTAAAAAACTTTGAATTTTATTTAATAGGATCTTCAACATAATATTATACAAACATGTACGATAACTGACAAACTAGGCACAGATTCAAATATCGCAATCTATATAGTGCCTAGATTTTAGACCTAATTATTTATCTTTAAAGTATAATATATTACATATCTTATATATAATAGTGCTTGCTCATTTGGCAACTTTTTTCTAATTAGTATATATTGTCTACCACTATTGTATTTATATCTTATACCACCTTTTAAGGTACTACTATAATACAATTTATATCTCAAGTACAGCTTTTCTAATTAGTCTTCTATTATTTTACTTCTATCTTTTATAAGGTTTACAGATTCTAGTACTCTATTTTGTTATTTTTTGCATCAGATAACTTAAAGAGATTGGTTTGCCCAAACCTAAGTTTCTCAAACTCAGTTTGAAGGTTTTCTAATTCTTGGTTTATATTTTTATAGTATGTATTCTTTTTTTTCTAAAGTCTTATTTTAGGATCTTTTACTAGTCACCTAGTTGATAGATCAACCAAAAAATATACAACTAGTATAGCTTTAGCAACCCTAATAGCCTGGTTGGTAAATCCTTTTGCTCAAAGATTTGCCACCCAAATTTTCTAATTTTTCAGATTTAGTTAAATCTGTTCTGTAATATTAAATAGTAAAGTAGTGTTACAGGTAGTATGAATTGTGAATACCAAAAACATGACTCAAACATTGATCAGGATCTGGATCAATGCATGATCATCAATTGTGTATACAATGAGGATACCCCAGATTTTGGCATTCATAATCAACTCAAAATTGGGTGAAACCTGCATATTTGGGTCTCATACAATCGTACGAGCATACCGTTAAATTAGGAAAAGATAATGAAGTTTCAATACGGCGGATCTGGGCAGGTTGGTATTAAAGAAGGAAAAGTCAAATTAGTCAAAGTAGAATAAGTAAAAATAGAAAACGAAGAAACGATTTATCCAAATTCAGTGAAATGGCAAAACAGTATAGTGGAGTCAATGAAAGTGGCAGGAAAAGGAATTTAGGAAAAAAAAAGAAGGAATAAGATTAGTTATAGAAAAATGAAATGTATAAAAGAGTAGAGAAAATTTAATAAAGTACATATCTTTAATTGCGTCTAAAAAATAATAGTAGGAGCAAAAGATCAATTATTAGTAAAATCCTTTCGATAGATAAAAGACTATATCTATAAATAAAATACATATTCCCCAATACTCGCCAAATCTAACTACACCTTTAAAGAAGCCTAAAAGTCAACGTAATATGAGAGTTTTGGTCTTTTAGCGACAGACTCGCTGTTTTCGCCCATAACAGTAGATATATCTAATTTGATATAGTTAATTTAGCTTATAATGTAGTAAGTTTTATAAATTTGATATAAAAGTATACAAGATTTTAATCAAATTTATTAGATTTATTCTAAAATAAAGTTTTTTCTTAAAAAATAATAATTTTTTTAAAAAAAATATGAAATGTTATTCTAAATATGTATTCTTACAAAAAATTAAGATCATCTGAAGACAATCTTTAAATTGATATACTATTACAAAGTAAGGTAATTTTAAAATTTTTTTCTCTAGATGTTTTGTATCTTTAACATATCAGTGGATTTTTGAAATTTACTATTGAAAATTACAAAAATATTTAACAGTGAATAACTTTTGATCCACTTGTCCGTTTTTGATGCAACAATTACCAAAATGTTCGTTTCATTGAGACGATTCTAATGGATACAAAATCGTCAAAATCCAATTACAAAACCCCGAGATTGATAGAAATTTGCGTCACTTCAGGTGTTTTAGAGTTGGTTAAACCAATCCTAAAACACACGAAGTGAAACAAATTATTAAAGATATTGGGATATTGTGATATTGTGATTGGATTTTGGCAATTTTGTGTCTATTAGAATTGTCTTACTGAGATAAAAATTTTGGTAATTGTTTTGTTGAAAACGGATCAGTGGATCAAAAGTTATTTACTATTAAATATTTTTAGAATTTTTAATAGTAAATTCCAAAAATCTGCTGATATGATATATGATTTTTCACCTTTAACTATTTCCTATCTTCTTTTTTTTGCCTTCATACCTCTTGTTTTTGTACTTTTTCAGCCTTATATACAAGTTATTTTTTGATAGCTGTTTTTTTTTTGCACTGTTTTTTGTTAGCTATTTTTTTGATCTTCTCTTCTGCCTCTCTCAACTTTTGCAAAGATTTTCGTTTATAAGAAGTTAAGAAAAGAGCATGAGTTTTCTTTTTTTTCTTTTTGCAGCTAGAAACTAGATTTTTCTTCTCTATCATTTAGATCTTTAGCTGGTTGTGAGTTATAATGCAAAGAATATTTAAGAACAAGTTGCAAAGAAATTATACCAGAATTTTTGAAGGTTTTTAATTCTTCTTCTAGTTATCTAACTCTTTTATTTAACAATTCAATCTCTGATATTAATTCTTTTTTTGTAGAATTTTTTTTTGTAAGATGTGTCTGATCTGGATTAACCTTAAAGATATAAAAGATGAAGATGAGAAAACTAAAGACAAAGAAAAAGAAAAAAATGAAGATGATGAAGTTAAAAAAGATGAAAAAGACAAAGCTATAGAAGATAATAAAGACAAAAATAGTGAAGACAATAAAGATAGTGATTTAAGAGCTTGTGAAATATCAATTTGCTTTATTGTTAATGAAGGCTTTAAATGATCTAAACCAATAATACTAGAATTGAATAGCCAAATTCTAGTAGTCCTGAAGACATTGCATATTGTAGCAGATATGTATATTGTAATATATAGAGGGAGTTAATAAAAAGAGATAAATTGTTTTTAGTGAAATTTTTTTAATTTATAAATTTAAATATCTCAACAACTATTTAATTAAATTTGCTAAAATTTGTTTATTTTAATTTTAAAATTATATAGAATTAAAATAAAAAAAAATATTAAATTTGATAAGATAATTGCTACCGGCTAGAGTTTCTTAGAATTAAAAATGCTGACAAAAACCAAACAGTAAAGCCTGAAGAAGTACTCAGAATAAAAGAAGTTTTAAATGATCAAGAATGCAGCTGTGTAGACTATGGAGTCTTGGAGAAATTAAACATAAATAAACACAAGCCGTCGTATAAACAAATAGAGCTAAGTTTAACCCCTCAAGAAGCATTAGCGAAAGAAAAGCTGACAGTAAAGAAAGAGCCTCTAAACGAAAACAAAAAACTCCTTATACCCAAGAACAGAAAAACAAATACTATTCAAGAAGATGGGCACTTAGTATTTGAAGAAAAAGAGGAAGAAGAGGCAGATTATACACAAAAGACAGCAGAAGTAAGGAAAAAGGTGTTTTTACAAGAATGTTTTACATTATAGGATATTTCGTTTAATGTAAAAGCAATAAGAATATGAAGGTGCCTACAGTTTTATGGCCGGGTTCAATTTAAACGATGAGAACTGCTTGGAAAAAAGAAAGCAGTATTCTTTATTCTAACTTTTCGAAATGAAAGAAGAAAAGCTTTATTATAAAAAGCATGGGTAGTTCACTTTGAGGAAGAAAAAATGTTAAGAATATCGAAAAGGGTGATTTCGCAAGAGATATTATTGAGGATAGAGCAGAGCATAAGGCTATAGTCAAGAATATCCCAAAGACAGTGCTAGAAACAATGCTATTGAGACAGCTAAAAGTAGTTAAAGCACAGGCAATATATATATCCCACAATAGCAACAAAAATCAAAGAAGTACAGCATCAGTATTCTTTGAATCAGAGAAGAATCTGTATATAGCCCTAGGTAAAAGAGTATATTATTACAATACAAAATTAGAATGGGTAAAAAGCAAGGAGTTTAAAAAGATAGATACACAAAAACGATCTAGCAAATATAGAAGAAAAACTATCACGAAGGGTTATTAGAGTAAAAGAACCCTTAGATATCCTGGAGAAAAAGAAAGTGGGCAATTCTTGTGAAAATAAAGAGAATAAGGATCCAGCAAAGCAGCAGTTTAAACAAAAGAATAATTCTAAGAGTAAGCAACTAGAGATAATCGGTCAAGAGGAAGAAGAAAAGCCTATAGAAATTAAAGACATGCTGACAAAAATACTAGGCAGATTAG